GACCGTATTGTCGCCTCCGCAGTGGCTAACCGAGAGATAGCTCTGATATGGATTAAGAAGTCAATCATGTGTAGAAGGAAGGCCAGGTGTCATGAATAAAAGATAAGGATAATTTCCGTACACTTTTGGTCCCACATTCACCCGGGAATCCTGTTTTTCAACACGTTCTGTGCTGCCTCCTCTCGCGATTATGATGCCGGATATCATGTACAGCTTCCACGCAGACAACTCCAGGATCGATGATTTGTGTTCTTCGATATAATCTGAAACCTGGCGTGATCTTAGGCTTTGATCAATGTACGTCTTTGTAGGCTGAATAATTTGTCTATCCAATCTGTCGAACTGTGCAAAGTTATTGACAGTCTTCTTGAAAGCAAGCTGTATGTCTCCCTGAGCCGACAAGCCCGGCGCTGAAAGAAGTGGGATACTGGCCGCAGTCTTGGCATTTGTCTCCGAATCTCGGGTCTCGGTCCAGTTGAAGTTCTTGTCAACCGTCGGCCAAATTCGCACATCTCTGGGCAGCGGGTGGGGCCCGGAAGAGTTGATGACCTGGTCTATGTCTTTGAGCCGTGGGATGATGTGCCCTAGCTGTATGGGGCCTTCTGCCTTTCCTCGAGCCATATTGGTTGCCGCATACTTGGGAGCGGGATAGTGTGCTTGTCGGAGGACAAACCAACATTTATCCTGTGCCATGGTGAATATCTAGGGTTGGAGGAACCTTGAACCCTTTGGCCAGGCTGAAGTAAAGAGATTCTATCTTCAAAAACAATGAAACGTCAGATCCTCGATAAGTTGAATACTCTGAGCCTTTCAACTACGATAAACGTTCGGCCTGTGCCTTGGAAGGTGTGCGACCGCCAAATCACCATTGTCGTCAGTCAATCAACTTCCCTCGACTCTCAGGAAATCAATGAGGTAAGTAACGATAAACGCAAGAGAGTCCTATCTCACCGAAAACAGCATGTGTATGCGATTCGTTCATTGACCAATAGATGCTCAATGCAATGGTGCCCAATATGCAAGCCCGTTGCTTAGAGCATATGAGTGGAAGCGAAGTTAAGGTGTATCAAAACTTGGCATCAGCAGTGTGATGGGTTGCCCCCGCATATGCGGCCCACTACGGTCGCCAGCAGGCTGGAACTCAGTGCAACACAGGTGCACTCTTCTGTTGGACAGTGAGAAATCTGAGGAAAGCACCTTTCTTTCGGCTCACCTGGACTTCACAATATACATGCATAGCTCATGTGAATATACACATGCGTCTTAGCCCGTGGCAAGCCGAACCTCTCATACAGTCCGCACTGTCCAGGTTTGATTGGCGTAATGCACGCTAATATCGGCGTAAGGACGTAAACAGTATTACTGTAAGAATAACCAATCGGACATTGGCGCCCAGGGCGCGTCTGATTCTGCCCGCGTAATGCTGGGCGGCCATACCGCCAGACTGCTTACACTAACTTCATAAAGGACGCGGCTGGAACCAAGCAGGAACCAGCCAACCAACCAACCAACCATCTAGATAAACTTCCCCGGCTGTGAATGAGTTGCAGCTGCCAATATGACAGACCACAGAGCGCGGGACCGCGCCCAAGGCAGCCAAGATATTATCAACTTCGCCATCAGTTCGATCGACCGCGTACGAGATATTGCATGGGGCATTATCCGCCAGGACCCGAAGCCGTTCTGCAGGAATCCTCGCAGCGCCCTGGACCCGAAGCCGTTCTGCAAGAATCTTCGCAGCGCCCTGGATGGCGTCAAAATGGAGCTGCTGAGGCCTAATCAAAGCCAAGACGAGGCTCAGCTGAAGAAGGTGAAAAGCCTACTAAACAATTTAGAGAGATTGTGCAACGTGCGTTTTTCTTCTTCTTCTTCTTCTTTGGTTTGCCCGGCTGCCTGCCGGGACGTCGGCCTGGCAGGTGTGCGGAATTCCACATACAACCACGAATCTCGTGGCTCTTTACCCCCTCCTGCTGGCTGGATCATTTACTATGTGAGGTAGTTTGTGAGATGGAATTGCACCATGACGCCAGGCTTTTGGAGCCTGTGGAATTCTCAATTTTAAGTCGAGGAGCTACTCTGGCTAACCTAAATATAGTGGCCACGTCGGAGCGAGCACAAAGCAAATCAGTGGCCCACGCTCAAGGCTATCCGCTCCGGTCCATCTACAGAAAGGGCAAGAATTTGCCTTTACAATGTTGCCGTGGAACCCAATAAGAAGGACTACAGGGCGGATGCGATCAAGAAACTCAAGGACTATTCGGCAGCGACTTGGAAGCAGGAGGCGGCCGAAGCGGCGCAGGTCAACGATGCCTCAGTGACTTCCCCAGCACCCCATAATAGCCACGAGCTCGACGATGACATCCAGTACCTTTATAAGATTTTGGAGCAGTATCGGTCATGCCAAAATGATCAATCTCCTGGCGATATCGTGATCAATCTCCGGCTTAACGGTTACAGAAACCTTACGGCAAGCGGTGCCTCGGTCGAAATTTTGGCGGAGAATGCCTCGGCGGAATTCGGCATTCTATTACTCGACCATCCGCACAAAAACCAAGGCTTCTGGCAAGAGGCTAGCATCCAAACAGTTTCCCCTTCAGGGCCAGAGGCTCCAACAGTGTATGACTCGACATAACAAAGCAAATCCCTCCCCCTTCCTTTGGGGAACCAGCTATGTCCTCGCTGACTACATGACAGACAAGTTACTGATGAAGATGTGGCACCCGGACATATGGGTACGCTCGCGATGGAGGCGATAGTTGAGCACGACTGCATTCCCTTCGAGAGCTTCTGTGAGCGCATTAGCAATCGCGACCAGGGCCTGTTGCGCATGTCCACGCGGGACGACAAATTGGTATATCATAGACCAGGCGATCTGAGCCGCGAATGGCTACCTCATGTAGAGGCTGTACCATTGGCAAGCCTCTTCTCCAGGCCAGACCTGTATCTGCTTGACAAGTCTAAGGCAATCCTGGCGATGCTGGCGGCCAAGGCGACGTGGGAATTTTACGACAGCGACCTTCTCGCCCAGGGGCTGACGAGCGAAACTGTGCAGTTCATCTGTGAGAAGCGATCTGGAAGAACAGGAGTCTTCATCAACGAGCCGATGCTGCTGACCCAGTACATGGAAAAGGATGGCACAAGCACCAGGGATGGTAAGTCTGACAGCCGCTTGGCCACCCTGAGTACGGAGACTATTCATGACATGCCCCGGATCCTTGCGCTCGGTATATTGCTATTGGAGCTAGAGACCAGGAAACCCATGAAGACGCACCGGGAAAACCGCAGACTTTGCCCCCCGGGGCCGTTTGGTATTAACACCGATTACAAGATCGCCTGCAAGCTCATCGCTACTGGTCCCGATGCCAGTGAAAGCATTATATCCGACATAGAACCTCTGTCCCCTCTGAGGAAGATCTTGCCTCTTTGCATCACGCCCGGGAGTCTCGAGAGGAAGATCGGAGAGGATCTTAGTGCTCGGGGCTTGGCTAAATCCGCCTCTCAAGTCAACAAGCAGAATGCCCTGCGTTCTGTTATCTACAACGAGCTGGTCCGCCCCTTGGAAGACTGGGCAAAACGATATACCGATTTCGACCGCATCAAGCCTCTGTACGAGGTCTCGGCTGTGCCGGCCAGGCACAGACCTGAACGACCGCCGATTCAACCCCAGACAGCCTCTCCGGCGAAACTCTTAGCCAATGTGGCGGAGGATAAGTACGTCCGTTCTAGCCATCTTGCATGCTTCATTGAGCTTTCCTGGCTGACGTGGGGCAAGATTTCGCAAAGACTCGCAGGAGTGGTTCCGTCTGTATGAAGAGCTCCGAGACGTTCTGCAGCCAGCAGAAGAAGAGAAAAAGTCGGGTTACAAAGCCGTGAAGATTGCCGTATTAGACACCGGCATTAGTAAGGACCTCTACACATATCATAGAGAATGGCCCGGCGATTTTGAGTATGTGGACTTTGTCGACACGGCCCGTCAGGATGAGGGCCCCATCGGAGACAAAAACACGGAGCATGGGACCGCCGCTGTGTTGCTCCTAACAAAGATGTGTCCAAATGCAAGTTACTGCGTAGCTAGAGTGCTCAAGGAGAATGTCGCATTACAGTCTGATGCCGTCTTGATAGCGAAGGTGAGGACTTCTCCTCCTATTCACCCTCTCAACCAATGCTACGCCCTTGCCCTGCTCACTCCACTCAAGTCGCTAATTTATGAAACCCTTCTTCTTTGACCTAATTAGGGCATTGACTGGGCCATTGATCAAAAGGTAGATATCATTACCATGGCTATCGGTTTCCAGGTGGCGCAAAAAGCCATAGTGGAGGCGATCCGCCGGGCGCACACGCAGGGCATCCTCATCTTCTCGGCAGCCTCCAACAAGGGCAGACTCGAGAATGTTTACTGCCCTGCCAACATGATTGAAGAGGTGTTCGGCATCTTCTCGACCAATGCAGGCATCTACCATTCCAGCTCGCTGAACCCGGCGCCGCTGCCAGAGAGCTTCGCCGTCTTTGGCGAAAATATCGAGTTGGAGGAGGGCCTCCCGCTTTGCAGAGGCACCTCGTACTCAACGTCGGTTGCAGCAGGTCTAGCGGCCGCCCTGCTCGACTTCTCGCGGCAGGATCGGGCCAAGGATGACGAGTCCATCCTCTCCCAGCTCGGCAGCCGGCCGCACATGCGAAGCGTGTTCCGGGAGATGGCGGTGATGCCCCGCAAGGAGTACCTCTGCCTGCAACCGTGGTCGCTGCTGAAGAGTGCGACGGCGTCCGAGAAGGTACCGCGTGATCAGCAGCGGGATTGGATTCGGGGCAGCATCGAGCGTTGGCTGGAGCCCAATTGGCTCCTTCGGGCCGGGCGATTTTGAAGCCTCACTTTGACTATTTCCTTCTTCCTATATTGATTCAGAGTCTCTCTATTTGGATATAGCTCTCCACACAGCAACTTCTTACTGTATACATAGTATTTCCATATGAGAATGCCAGGGCGTGTACCCAGGGATATAAGGCTAAGCATCATGCGTCGCGTCGGGAACCATCGTAACAAAGGACCACGTCTCGGTGCCCCCAAAGGCAGTCGTGCACTCGGTGACCACGGCTTTTCCCAGCCCTTCGCGCTCCAGGACCTCTTGGACCTGCTCCTCGCCTTCCTCGTCTCCGTCCAGCGCCGCGCCGGCCGTTTCCTCTGTCTGCATCCACTTCCGGCGGAGCAGCCCCTTATGAACCTTTGCGAATCGCACGGCCCACACTCGGTCGCCCTGGATCTGGGCAGACATGTGGGTTTCTGTGCTGTTCTTGTGCGTATCGCCGATTTTAAGGTTGGCAGCGCCGGCAATGTCCCTAGCCAGAGACAGGTACATACAAATTAGTAATTGAGCCGTTGAGAAGACGGTTAGGGTATATAATGTCAAAACTATCCCGAAGCATATGAACTGGCAGGCGGCAACTTACAGGTCGATGTCGCTGTGGAAGGCCTGGGAGTTCAACTTAGAGCCGCCAATCGAGCCGCCAGCCCGCGCAATCATCAGACCGATAACCACGTAGACGGTCCACCGGTCCAGGGGCCAGATCTTGTGCTGTTCGATATAGTTCTGCACGTCGGAGTGGGCGATGACCTGATCGATGTAGGTGTTACTCGGCTGCACGACCTCTGTGTCGAGCGTATTGAAGTTAGCCCATGTCTTCATGGTCCTCTTGAACTCGGCGCTGATCTCGGCGCTCAGGGTGGCGCCAGCGGCCGCAGCAACCGGGGCCCCGGCGCCGGCATTCGCGCCGTCTTGGCGCTCGTGGGTCTGATCCCACTTGAACTCGCCGAGCTGGGTCTGTGTGATACGCATCTCGCGGCCAAAGAATGGCAGGGTGCCCTGGGTGAGCACAGGGTAGATGTTGTCGGGGCTAGGCACCACATCACCGAGACGCAGGTTGCCGCTCTCCGTCTGGCCACCGGCCCGGGAAGTATTGGTATAGACCGGAGCGGTATAAAAAGACTGCTCGAGAACGAACCAGCACTTGTTCATTTTGGGCCAAGATTCGCCAATCACGCAACTATCAGCAGACTTTTTGTCTCGGAAGTGATCGCGAGCTCAGTAACAAAATTTTGGGATTCGCAAGAAATGTGTTGTTGGCTAGGAAAAGGCGACTATAGAGCGCAAAGCATGACATACTACAACGAGATTGCCGCCGGCCTGCTCTTTAACCCTTTGGACCCCTCTTGCACACGCTGAAAAGCATCAGTGCCCGAAAGGCGGGGTAATCTGGCAATTAATTGCCAAGTACAGCTGACGTTATATACGGCCAATTACACCTGCATGGCTTGATGGACCCGATCAGAGCGGCTCACTGCTCTCTACACACGCTCTACTGATTTGACACCCCATCTGCCTCTGCGAATCTCAGTCAAGATAGATGGGCGCCAATCGACAACAACAGCGGCGGACAACATGGCCTCCGGAGCTTCAGATGCGTCACTGCACCCCTTTACCACCGTCTTTCCAGGGTCGGCCCCACAAGAATCGGCCCCGGTCGCCGAAGCCCAAGTAGACGAGATCCGGGGTGGAAAGGACGAGCTGAGCGTGAGGAAAACAACAGCAGGCGACAGAGCTTCAGAGACGACCTACAAGTTGGTAGATGCGTATCCTCTCGACATCGTCCCGGAGTTTGAGCTGCGGGACAAATCCCGGGCTTGCAGAGAGCGATTCAAGGAATGCCTGTCCCTTCTCAACCTCGCCCACCACGACTGGCTGGAGCAGCGATCGGCCGAGTTCAACTGGTGGATCTCGGGCCTAAATGCCGACAAGACCGGACCGGGGTCTCTCGACGCCCGGCTGAGCTTGCGCCCCGACGTCACAGCCGTTATTGTCGATGCACTCGATGGGCTTAAGGATGCCCTGCACGCGTACCACGATTTGGGTAGGTCCCTGGACGGCCCTAAATTCTGTACACCCTGCGCTCGAAACAGACCCTTGATTATTTGAGAGGTGCTCATGGGAAACAACCAGCTGACTTATGTGCCTCCATATCAGCTACTTCTGATCCTCACAGTCTCACTGAGGCCGATGCTGATTCCACCGCTTCGGATGGAGTGGACCGTGCGCCATCGCCGTGGTCTTGTATGGGCTCCGGCGGCGGGGAAGGTCCCGCCTCTGCCGTTGGCGACGGAGAAGAGAAGGACGAGGAAATAGAGGATGCCGAGTATCAGCGTAAAGACGCGCATTTGCCCTTGTCCAGCGACGAGTACGCCGAGCAACGAGCTTACATTGAGAACAACTTGGTAGTCCTCATCCGCATTTATACCGCCATTAAGCTTTCTGGCCTGAAGCTCAGGAATAAGCGCGCCGACGATGCGCTGAAGCAAGCCGAGCAGGAGTACGAGCGACAGAAGCTCACAATAGGAGCGCACAAGGCCCTTGCAAGCCAGGACGGAGGGCATGAACGATTCCGACGCTACCTCACCAAGCTGGTGCTACGTAACGACTACACGGAGGATCTGATACGGGGTTTGAGCTTCATGATTTACCAGTCAGGCGAGGCGAAGTGGGACCCAAATGTCACAGAGTCGCGAGACTGGGAAGACTCGCAAGACCCAGAATGTTCGCAATATGCCCGAGAGTTGAACGAGGGCCAAATAGGAGAAAGTTACGAAGTGTTGCTTCAGAAGAAGCTCTTGGTCGTGCTTCGTGCATACTTATGCGACCCAGCCAGGCTGACTATCGTCCAGCGCCGGCTTATCGACGCCAACGTCGTACGGCGAAACCGCCTTGTCCACGCCGGCAGTGCGAGCATGGCATCACCCCATGCGCCGAAGGGGCTAACCCAACCCGCGCGACAGATCGAGCCCTTAAACAAGAGTATAGTCCAGCGGAGCTCTTTGATGGCGGGAAACGTCACCTCAAGTTCGTATAATCTCGTGTCATCTACGGCATCACGGCCTGTTACGCAGTCCAATCATGGCGCCCAGGCCACCAAGAGCTTTGTGGCGCAGGCTGCTACGGCTCTCGAGTCGAGGTTCAGCATTACAGGCGCCCTGACACCCGCGGTCCGAAGCACGGCCAGGTCGGCGGGCACCAAGATGTCGGCTCGGGTGGGACATTTGGACTATCCAAGTTGCCCCATAGAGGGGGGCGGTTCATTTTCCTGCAAATACTGCCCTATGATTCTGTCGCAAGACTACAGAACGAAAGAGAAGTGGCGGTAGGTCCTACTTCCTTTTCCTTGTCTTTCTTGACTGACTCATTGCCTCTACTAATCTCACTCGTTCAACTATAACTTCCCCGCCCTTCTGTAATATGCATGAACTTCCATCTCTCTTGCAACTGTTTGGCATTTCTCACCAGGTTCTAACGCGTCTTAGTGGCCACGTGGCGCAAGACCTTTGCGGATATGTCTGCGTCTTCGAAGACTGCGAGTCCCCCGAGGATATGTTTGCCTCCACGTATGCATGGATGTCGCACATGGCGCGGTCCCACTCCGAGGTCGAATGGGTGTGCCTCCTGTGCGCCAATCATCGCCTCCCTGCAGACGATATCCAAGCCGCGTCCTTCACCGTCCCCTCAGAGCTTCGGGACCACATCTTGGCCTGCCATCCCGCCACTGATGCTAACGGGAGCCTGACGGAGCTGGAGCTAGTGGTCAGCGCAGGCCAACGGGCTGTGGGTATCCGTAAGGTCCGTTGCCCGCTCTGTCGGCCGGGCCTCGTGACCAGCGAGGAAGGTATCGACGGCTCCGTCCCGTCTTTCCTCCCGGCGGGCCGAGAGGCGGGGCTGGTGCAGTTGGAGGAAGACCAGCATATTGCCACTCACATTCACGAGTTCGCGCTGCACGCTTTCCCATCGGCGGACGGCGAGGAGCTATCAGAGGAAGCGACATGGAGGGATTCCGTTCCGTCCGAGCCAAGCACCAGTGTCGAAATCAACCTTGAACGGCTGCGTAGACCCGAAAGTTCGTTCCAGGGGCAAGCGTTCGCGTATTACACCATAGAAAACATACAAGACGCGATAGAAGAGCTGAACGCCACATGTCTGCGGGTGCAAGCGCCTGACTGGATACAAGCAGATAGCTCTGTGCGGCTCGATGTCATGGCGGGAAGATTGAACGATCTGATTCTCAGTCTCCAACTGGCGCAGGGGGAAGTGGATCTTGACGACTTTGCGTGGAAGCTGAACAAATGCCAAGTCCTGTTTTCCCAGCTGAGCAACTTACCGGACTCGGTGTGGGAAGGGCCGCAGGTTAAAGAACTGCTGGAAGAGTTAGACGAGGAAATGCAGCAGCTGGATTCCTTGTGCGAGACTGGTCGACAGCGTGAAGGACAGCAACTGTCTCCTTCGCCAGACTTGCCTTTCGACCGGAAGCAATTATCACCCAATATGAATCCCACACTGACCTCGATCGGCTCCCTTCAGTCAGCCTTAAGAGATGCGGAAGTGGAGATAAGGAACCAAAGAGACGCCAAGAAGTACAAGTGGATACCCATTTCCTCAATTGACGAGATACTTGAGGGCCACAGCATCGATGTGGAGGATGAGGTGCACGGCTTTATATTCAAGAAGGCCAAGAGGCTTTTCTCTCTTCTTGTCCGCCAGAGTCACTTCGAGTGGCTACCTCTCTTTCATGCCAATGACTTCGGGGACGAGGATTTCCCTATCAACTTCAGTGTCGACAGAAAATCTCAAGTATGGGCCTTGAAGTCGTGCAAAACTGGCAAGGCAATTAGCTTTGAGGTTACCGACAGAGAAGTCAATGGAATCAGCCGAAAGGACTACGACTCACTCTGCGACTTCTGCGACTACCACCAATGGTTGATATTTGTGCCAATCTTCTCTCCTGACGATCGAGCTCAGGTGTTCGATCCACTCTGCCGTATGCCCTTCTTGCAGGAGTTCGAATCCCATGGGACCAACTTCAGCATTGTCAGGCATTTCGTTATTCACCGAAGCCATCTTAACTTTCCACGGGATGATCAGATTGTAAGATAATTCTAAAATCACGCGCAATTAACGTTAAATTGACGCACTTTAGGGAACAATAGTAGATGCGGAGGACAACCCTCACATCGCTGTGAAAGAGATATTGTCTGCGCAAGGTCTGACGGCCAACAAATTTCAAGAGCTCGCCAATAACGAGGCGACTCCTCTTGCACGTCTACGAGACCAGAGTCACCCACACTTACTTCGAGTCATTGCCAGCTACACCCAAGACCGTCGGCACTTCTTCGTTTTCCCTTGGGCTAGAGGTGGCAATCTGCGCAATTTCTGGAAATCGCAGCCCAGCTTGAGCGCTGTATCAGATGATACCAGCACCGAAGACTGGAACATTTACTTGGAATGGTTCTTCAAGCAGCTGCTCGGTCTTGCGAGCGCCATAAAGAACCTTCACCATCCGAGAGATGACCCAAATGAGTCTTGCAGGCACGGCGACCTAAAACCTGAGAACATTTTGTGCTTCAGCAAGAATGAGGATGAAATTGGCGAAGGTAGAATTCCGACAGGCGTTCGGCTCGTTGTCGGTGATGCTGGACATGCCAAAGCACATGAGATGACCACTGAGTTCCAAGGTTCCCCAACGGCTGAATCAAGAGGCACGGTAATGTACTCGCCTCCAGAGGCGGACATCAAACAAGCTAGAACCAGAAGATACGACATCTGGTCCCTTGGCTGTCTGTATATTGAGTCCCTTATCTGGATGATATATGGCTACGATGCGCTGAAGTCTTTTCATTCAGATGTCGGTCCTGGAGAGCCCTACTTCTTTAAAGATTCGCCTGTCGATCTCAAAGATGCCGTGAAAGAATGGATCAAGGCAATCAAAATGGATCCTCGCTGCGCTCCCGTCGAGAAGACTGCCGTCGGACGTCTAGTCACTTTGATTGAAGAGAGAATGCTAGTCGTCCGAGTCACGAACCGCGGGGTGCCAGCCCGTGAAAACTCGGACACGGAGCATTCGACAGCTCCCATGCTCCTTCTCAGACGAGCTACAGCGGACATGTCAGAGGAAATTCCCGAAAGAGCCGATGCTAAGGAAG